GCGTTTCTGTAGGTTTTCTAGGTGAAATGCCTTTTTTCATCCGGTCACTTTGCTGTGTTGTTCCACAGAAGCCTCATTCAGTCTGGATTAGATTATGAAGGACGTCTGTATTAACGTTTTTACGCATCTCCTCGGTGATAAAACACTCAATACAATCACAGCAGGGCCAGACAGTATTTCCTATAAACCCAGATGTTTGTTTCACATGATCATATACAGCAAAATGCTGGTGATATTTTGCCTGTGTGAATATAAAGTAATACCAAGGTGCAAAACACAGGGGGTCCTGGTGGGTCCAGGACTGAATGTTTCAAAATCTAAATTCTGGGGGTTCAAAATTCTTGTCTGTTAGGGGAAAAATAGTCGCTCAAATCCAGATTCAGTGAAGCTCATCGTTTATCTGCTTCACCCACAATCAGCTTCTGTCTTTGGAGTTCAGCTCACTGCTAGCTGTTAGCATTTAGCCATGTTAGCATTAACATACTTTCACCTTCAAACAAAACGTGTATGTTAGGAATGCTGGGATACGGCAGTTTTCATTACCGAAGTGTTCTATTTCATACAGATTAAACAGCTCTAACGTTTAAAAAGGCACCAGCATTTCACTGCTCTAACTGGCTGAGCTGCCTTAGCGTTAGCTTACCCTGAATGTTAGCTTGGCTAAATGATCAGACAGACACCTTCAGCAGAGCATGAACACACAACGAAGAGCTGCTGGGCTCGTTTTCTAAAACGATGAAAATAAAATTAAATCCTTAAAGAACGCAGCAGCTTTTCAGCTGAGACAGGTTAGCTGAGTCGTGAAAAACAAGCCTTTTTAAATCCAGTTATTAAAGAGTGAACGATTCAGAACTGAACAGTGAAAAGGTTATGATAAGAGGAGGGTTGTGGGAAATTTAGGGCAGGCAGAGTTTTGTGTAAACATTTTTGTGCCATCCTGCCCCAAAAATCACGGTTATCATCTGTAACTGAGGAAACGACGTTTAACCCCGTCTGACTGATAATTTAGCCTCAAAGGCTTCTAGACGTTCTCACAGCTTCACTTCACACCTCCAGCGGCGGCTAACGCTAACGGCGACCATGCTAACGAGCCTCCTGTAGGTGTCGAGTGCTCTGAACCGGAGGCCGTTGTTTTCTTTGATGGGATAATTTGGGTTCTCCTCCTCCGTCTGCCCTCAGCGCGTCTCCTCCTGAAGAAACACTCCAGCGCTCTGATCCATCACTGTCGAGCGCCGAGCGCTAATAAACAGCGCGCTAAAGGTCAGCCGTGTGAGCGCCGGCCTGATTAAAAGCCCCGGTGTCCGGCTGCGGCTGCCCTTCATCTCCACACGCCGGCTACGGCGAGCAGGAGAACCGCCGTCCATCACTCCTGCAGCGGTCAGCGCTGACCGTCAAACACAGCCGCGCTAATTCAGAACCTCGCTAATTCACACAGAGCTAACCGGAGCCGCTTCGGCCTCCTGACACTCAGCAGAGATGGACCTTCAGGGAGAAGGTGGAGAAAGGAGCCCAGACACGGCAGCGTAAAGAGGCCTGATCTACATTTCTACACAGTTTTATTCAAGATTTCCTCATTTAATCTGCTTAAAGTACCAAAAACAGTCAGAACTGAAGTTCTGCACAACGGTTTTCAAACGGTCGGACCACGGAAGCCTGTCTGCAGCAGACAGAGGAGAAGCACAACAAAACTTTCTTCTCCTCTCAGTTTCAAATTAATTCCTGGAGGTTTTAACTTGGTGTCTCTGTGATGACTGACTCTCGTGAAATTTTGATTTACTGTGGCGAAAATCTTATTTTCTCAAAATTTTGAATTAAAATGATTCATGAAATGTCAAAACTCATTAGAGTGTCTCAAAACTTCATCTTTATCTTTATCTTAACTCAAAGTCTTGAGTTAGTAAGTCAGAATTTTGAGTCCTTATTTCAACATACAAACTCAATCTAGAAAATATGTAATAATTTTGAGACACTAAATCAATATTTAGATAAAGGGATTTTTTTCTCCTCTCCCTGGTGGGGCTGAAACACTATAACTTCAGCCCGAGTGGGTGGGCTCATGGTTGTGACATCATGGTTGTGACAAAAGCGTTCAATTCACATAGATACGCATGGACTAAAGACTGAACTTGAGGTGAATTTTAAAACTTTTTCCCACTAGCTCAGTTTCTTATGATATCTAGGCCTCCCACTTACGGATGGCTGTGGCATCACTGCAGACCGACACGTCTCGGTTGTGCTGCTCGGGAGCCACATTCTGAAACTCGGACAGGGTTTATGCACCAAATCAAACTCTTTCATTTAAACAGTTTTCCAGTGCGTGAGCTCTTTAAAGCTGTGCTGTGTTGATGGAAAGGCTAATAAAGCTGGTCTGAAGAAACGGAGAAAAGCCTGATTTCCTCCTTCCTCACGACAGCGGCGGTGACAAAGCTCTCAAACCTAATCTGCTCAAGCAAGTGTGACGCGTAATTTCTATAAATGGGAACAGAATCAGGCTGTGTTGGAGAAACCTGCGGAACAATCAGCGCTCAGGTGAGTCATTAACCCTCAGAGTCGCTTTACTGCAATTATTCCTGCCTCGCAGCTCATTAAAGCGAGAGGAAGTGAGAGGATTCTAAACCTCAGTCTCAGACCAAACTAGCGTTCGGAAGTTCGTCAGGTTTTAACGTCAACACAGAGAGAAGCGGGAAAAACCACTCAAATCTGTCCATACATGAAAGTAATTAATGTAATTATGCTTAAATACTACAGCAAAACAACAAATGTATGATGTTCATGTTATAACGTGATCCTCTACAGCCCCCATTTACATGAACACACTCAGTTCATTTGGGCCAAAGTCCAACAATATCAGGTGGTGTGTCCGACCACACATGCAGGCCTGTATAAAACTCTGAATAAAATAGTTTGGGATGATTATATTTTTAAAATGAAACATGTTGCGTCTCACTTTAATGCAGAACTTCATTAGATTCACGTTGAACAGAAAGCTGATTTTTCATGTAAGAGTTTTAAATGCCAGTTTTATAAAGTGAGCAGTGTTATTTACATTGTGAGTTTGGCTAATAGAGAATGTGGGAAATGTGCTTGTGTGTTTCATGTGTTAAAAAAATAACAATGAACCAAAAATAAATAAATAAATAAAATGATCAAATTGGCTGTAAAGAAAACCTGAATCAGTCCTGAAAAACTGGGCTCCTGCATTAATAACTGCAGACAGGAGTGGGTTAAAATCAGAGACACCGAACTGAGCGACACTCGCTAAAGCAGCACGACTGACCGAGACCAGAGCTTCTGTCCACTGTACGCTTTAATCTTCTCTCCTCGCTCGGCCAGAGCTCAGTGAGAGAGAGAGAGAGAGAGAGAGAGAGAGAGAGAGAGAGAGAGAGAGAGACAGAGAGAGAAAGAGAGAGAGACAGAGACAGAGAGAGAAAGAGAGAGAGAGAGGGAAAGAAAGAGAGAGAGAGAGAGAGAGAGAGAGAGAGAGAGAGAGAGAGAGAGACAGAGAGAGAGAGAGGGAGAGAGAGAGAGAGAGAGAGAGAGAGAGAGAGGGAAAGAGAGAGAGAGAGAGAGAGAGAGAGAGAGACAGAGAGAGAGAGGGAAAGAGAAAGAGAGAGAGGGAGAGAAAGAGAGAGAAAGAGACAGAGAGAGAGAGAGGGAAAGAGAGAAAGAGAGGGAAAGAGAGAAAGAGAGAGAGGGAGAGAGAGAAAGAGAGAGATAGAGAGAGAGAGGGAGAGAGAGAGGGAGAGAGAGAGAGAGAGAGAGAGAGAGAGAGAGAGAGGGAGAGAGAGAGAGAGAGAGAGAGAGAGAGAGAGAGGGAGAGAGAGAGAGAGAGAGAGAGAGAGAGAGAGGGAGAGAGAGAAAGAGAGAGAGAGAGAGAGAGAGAGAGAGAGAGAGGGAGAGAGAGAGAGAGAGAGAGAGAGAGAGAGAGCTCCACTGAGCTCCATCAGCCAGAAACACTGAGAACACAACATGGAGACGCGTCTCTCAGAAAACACGAACATGGATTTAAACTCTAACACTGTTCTTTTATTATTAGGGTTTAGTTGGAAACCAAAAGGTTAAAATCTTGAAACGCCCATCAGAAAATCATCCAATCAGGATTGTTCTCTCTCTGGTATTTAGGCAGATACAGCTGAGAAATAGTTCTTCAGGTTATTGGAGAATGTGTTTTATATAGCACCAAAAATGTTCCTCTATTGTTATGATGTCAAGCTTCTAACAACAGAACCCTTTTTGGTGCTATATAGAACCATTTTCAAAAAAGTTCTACATAAAACCATGTACAACACATTCTCCATTAATCTGAAGAACCATTTCACCATGAAAACCATGTTAGCATGAAAATTGTTCTATATAGAACTCACAGGTCCCCATTACTAAAGAGCCCTTGAAGAACCATCTTGTTTTAGAGAGTAGCACTAATGGTCACAGTTCTCCACTGCTGTTCACAACAGCCACAGAATGCAATTTCCTCCTGTTCTTTAAAGATCCATGATCTTCTGTACTCTGATTGCATAGAACCAATTGAACTTTTTTCCTAGAACAGTACACCCAAGCCAAGAACCACTTAGGAACTGGTTAAAACTGGTATATTATCTTTCTACTTGCCGAAGTAAAGAACCTTCCTTCCATTTGTGAAAATGAGATTTGCAAGTGTGAAGAACCTCCACCAAATGTAAATGTTCTCTATCAACTAGACGTTTTTCTCGAGCACTGTGTCCAGACCAAGAACCGTTTAAGAATCTTTGTAGTTCAGAGTTTAGAACCAGTACATTTCTCTAATTCTAGTCATGCCTTCTCAGCGTTTAAATAACATTCCACATAACTTCTCCAAGAACAGCACAGCCAAGCCAAGAACCATTGTTCTAAGAGCGCAGAACCAACTCATTTCTCCTTCTGCAACCCACCGAACCCCTCTAAAGGTTCTCCTCTGTATCTGAGATATCTCAGGTGCCTGTAGACGGTAAAACAGTGAACCCTGAGTAAAAGCGCTGCCTCACCTTCGCCACCCTGTTGGCCACCTCCCGTCCCACCATCAGGCCCTGGACGAAGGTCCTGGCGGCGATGAAGGCGCGGGTCACCTGAGCCTTCAGCTTTCGCGGGACGTCCCCGAACGGCTTCAGCTGGTCTGTGTACTTGCTGATGCACTCCAGGTAGTCGTCGGTGAAGGTGTACTGAGAGTTCAGCAGCTGGAACATCCTCTCCAGCAGGCGGGACCAGAAATCGTTCAGCATCTCCTCCAGGTTAACGTTCCCGCCCGTGTAGTAGCGCTTCAGCTCCGAGAACAGGTCCTCGAAGATCTCAGAGTTGTGCGTGTACAGCTTCCCGTAGGTCCGCACGAACATGTCGTTCAGAGACTTCTCCGAGTTGTCCAGCAGCTCCAGGAAGAACTCTGCAACGAGAACGAGGACAAGAGGAAGCGAGATGAGGCAGGTGAGGACCTCATTTCAGACACATAAAGAACTATAAGAACAGGAATATCTGAATAACCGGCTCTAAATGTAGGCATTGTGATATAAACTGAGTCAGTTTCTCATTAGGCTGAATGAATAACCGACTCTAAATGTAGGTATTGTGATGTAAACTGAGTCAGTTTCTTATTAGGCTGAATGAATAACTGACTCTAAATGTAGGTATTGTGATATAAACTGAGTCTGTTCTACAGTTTCTCATTAGGCTGAATGAATAACTGACTCTAAATGTAGGTATTGTGATATAAACTGAGTCTGTTCTACAGTTTCTCATTAGGCTGAATGAATAACTGACTCTAAATGTAGGTATTGTGATATAAACTGAGTCTGTTCTACAGTTTCTCATTAGGCTGAATGAGTAACTGACTCTAAATGTAGACACTGCGATACAGAGACTGTACGATACCCTTAATTACAGTGTGAGGTAACAGAAGGTGCTGATTTTATGAGTGTGTCTGTCTCTGTGAGCGTCTATCTTTGCCTTATTTACTCTCTCCTCGGTAATCAGCCTCTGAGCTCATCAGGTTCTGCTCTGTTACTCTCAGATCCCCGGCGGGCCGACAAACACAAACAACTAAACAATATAACACACAGTGAGTGAGCAGCTTCCTCTGATGTGTTTACAGACAGCACGGCTGGTTTACTGAACACCCCCCCCCACCCACCCACACAGCACTACAGCACTACTGCATTACAGTATTAACACTCACTCTAAAGCCAGACTCATTCACACTGACGGACAGCAGCTCAATCCTGATATCGTTAAAAGATCTAATACACACTTCAAATAGAATTACGTATTAATGCTGTAGGTACAGAGTGAATTACGTTCATTGTACGTTTGATGTACTTTCAGTTTGGACAGGTTCGAGTTCTCACTTCTGACTGAAAAACTACAGTTTCATCTTAATGAAAATTCATCAACCACCAAACATCGACCACCCAGGACCCCATAGCAGCCACCTAGCAGTGCCCTAGCAATCACATCCAATACCATAGCAACCACATAGAAACACTGTAGCTACCACCAGAGATATGACCACCATAGCAACAATGTAACAGTACCCTAGAAACCACCTGGAACACCACAGCAAATCCCTACATCACCCACCAGAGACACCATAGCAATCACCTAACAACTGTCTCCAAGACCACAGTAACCACATAGCAACATCTTAGCGACCACCTGGAATCACATATGCACTGCTTAGCAACACCCACACTACCACCTAAGATACCATAGTAACTGCTTAGCAATGTTTCAGCAACCACCTGGGACAATATAGCAACTGCCTAGCAACACCCTCGCAACCTATCAATATATCAAAACCAACACAAAAACATAAAGTACCATAGCAACCACCCTAACAACCTCCTATCAACAATGGAGAAGCTTAAGCTGCACAATCACTCTGGATTTTCTTCAGGAAATACACGTTCCTATTTTATTATTATTATTACTATTATTATTACTATTATTATTATTATTATTATTATTATTGTTGTTGTTGTTGTTGTTGCTGTTGTTGTTTATGTTGTTGTTGTAGCAGACACCCACACGTGTGTGGTGTTTCCATCACAGGCATGTGTGTGTGTGTGTGAGAGTGTGTGTGTGTGTGTGTGTGTGTGGTCTCTCTCAGCGTTTCCACGGCAGCAGAGAGACCCGTGATTACACCTCCATTTATTTAAGTAATAACAGCCCCCCAGCGCTCTGTAACACACACCCGCTCTGCTGTCTCAGAGTCAAGGACGCCGCCGCTCTGCCCCCATCTAACGGTGCTTAAATTATAAATCATTTGCATATAAATGATTAAAACCTGAGTCCACGTTCTGGATCTGAGGAGATCCGGCATCAGCGCACTGTGGAGGAACATCCACTCAGAGTGGATCAGTCACACAGGTCGAACACAAACTGGACAGATCACCTGCACACGGACCATGACACTACACTACCCAGCATGCACTTCACCTGGAACCACATGGACTCCCTAGATTTTATCTTCACTCTCCAAACATACTGTTCACTCCTACACCGCCATCTGGAGTGCATTATGGTTGTGATGTCACAAATGTGAACAAATTTAAATACGACCCATTCAGCTACAGCAGTTTAGCTCCACCATTCAGCTACAGCAGTTTAGCTCCACCATTCAGCTACAGCAGTTTAGCTCCACCATTCACCCTACAGCAGTTTAGCTCCACCTATTTACACGTTTTAATGAGTGATTTTGCTCAGACTGGTTTTTAAATTAGGCACAATACAGGACTGCCAATCAGAACAGAGTTCATTTACATAAACCAGTCTTAAAGCTGATCATGTAGAAATGACTGATGATTGTTTTTGCCACTTAAAGCCACCCAAGCAGTGAAAGTGGAGCTCAGAGGAACATAATAACACAGAGGAGAATTGTGGGATATGGGCCCTTTAAAGCTCATCAGTGAGGGAGTTTACCCAGAGCTAACGTGTGGAGCCCCCCCGAGCCCCCCAGTCCCTGAGGGTCACCACATTACGGGGGAAAGCAGTCGATCCGTAGCAGGAAGGCTAATGGTCCGTGTGGTAGAGTAGGGCCGGTGTTTGTGCGGGTCAGGGCCGAGCTGATGGCCTTAGAGGGGGTGATTAATCAGGCCTGCGGGGGCTAATTGAGAACGGGGGAAATAATTTGAAAGGCCATTACCTACGTGTCACATCCAATCATATCACTTTCTCCTCCGAGCAGCGCACGGCAAATTATAATCAGAGCTTCAGACCAGAGACGACGCCCACACGCCTCGAACGTCACGCCCTGCACAAGTTCACAGGAACGTTAAAGAGCCCATACCCAGCGTTTCACTCAGACTCATTAATGAACCTAAATACGTCACAGTGCATTTAACTTCTCTTCATACACTTAAACAGCCTGACACCGTGCCTTTAAGACTGATTTATGTTAATGGGCTCAGTTCTGATTGGCCACAGTCACAAAAGCACTCTTTATAACTTCAACATAAGGGGCTAAACTGCTGTAGACTGAATGGTGGAGCTAAACTGCTGTAGACTGAATGGTGGAGCTAAACTGCTGTAGCTGAATGGTGGAGCTAAACTGCTGTAGACTGAATGGTGGAGCTAAACTCCTGTAGACTGAATGGTGGAGCTAAACTGCTGTAGACTGAATGGTGGAGCTAAACTGCTGTAGCTGAATGGTGGAGCTAAACTGCTGTAGACTGAATGGTGGAGCTAAACTGCTGTAGCTGAATGGTGGAGCTAAACTGCTGTAGACTGAATGGTGGAGCTAAACTGCTGTAGACTGAATGGTGGGGCTAAACTGCTGTAGACTGAATGGGTGGTGCTAAACTGCAGTAGACTGAATGGGTGGTGCTAAACTGCTGTAGACTGAATGGTGGAGCTAAACTGCTGTAGACTGAATGGTGGGGCTAAACTGCTGTAGACTGAATGGGTGGAGCTAAACTGCTGTAGAATGAATGGTGGAGCTAAACTGCTGTAGACTGAATGGTGGAGCTAAACTGCTGTAGCTGAATGGGTGGAGCTAAACTGCTGTAGACTGAATGGTGGAGCTAAACTGCTGTAGCTGAATGGTGGAGCTAAACTGCTGTAGACTGAATGGTGGAGCTAAACTGCTGTAGACTGAATGGTGGAGCTAAACTGCTGTAGACTGAATGGTGGAGCTAAACTGCTGTAGGTTGAGTCCTTTAAAGCCTCCGTGTCTGTATGGGGGTCAGCGCTGCAGTCCTGATCTAACAGTGGTCTAAAGTTCAGCAGCTCCACCCAGGATAAAAATACACCGCAACATGCTGTAACTGGTCAGTATGTTTATCTGGTCACCCAGATAAACATCTGCAGTTCAGTGGGTTAAAGTTGGTCCAGATCCTCAGAACATCGCAATGAACACAGCCGCGGCCACAGAGACAGAGACAGACCACATTATCCTCAGATAGGGCACGTCCAGTCTAATGAAACTTAGAACGCAGTGAAGACCCGCCCACCTGCTCAGGGGGACGTCTGACTGACATGCCCATCGACCAATCACAGCCCGTTGCTTTGGCGCAGTGTGCAGGACAGAGAACACACTGAAATATGGATATTTTTCTGCTAATTTTGGTGCTAAATAAAACTGAGTTTAACATATTAGGAAAAAATAAGATATAAAATATAAAATGTGCCATAACTTTTGCACAGATCACATTTAATGTTTAATTCAGTAAATAAACAGTAACTGAATTAAAATGTGCAGAAGCGTGTATCTGTAGAGGATGTGTAAACTTATTCACACAGAAAATCAACAGCCTGGGGTGCACAAACTTTTGCACACAACTGTACAGTCTGTTCTGTAGAGATTCATAATGTTTCATTTTGTGAGCCAGTCAATGCTTTATCGCCCAGAATAACAGACTTTTAAAATTTAATTCCTCTTTGAATTGGGAGAAGCAGCCGCAGTGTGCAGTTACACACTTCCACCACAGGGGTCTCCAAATCCCCAAAACTTACACAGGGCAGCTCCAGTGTGAGACAGCAGACCAACAGGAAGCTTTCAGTGATGCTGATATGAAATATTAAAATACTCAGATTGTACAAATCTCTATTTTCTCATTAGGAATTTCAGTGACACAATAAAAAATGTGGGTTTAAACTCAAAATGACTGGGCTGCCCTAAAGTTGGAGTTATTTGAATGTCCACACAACACAAAACACAGACTCTTATTCTGTTATTATTCAAAGTTAACTCAATTTATAAACTGTTCTACAGTGCACAGTGGAACAGACAAAATGCCTTAATAAAACAAAAACGAAACTGAATCTCTGTACTGAATGTGTGATGTTATAATTGCTCTTAATAATATTCTGTGTTTTGTATTTTAATGCTGTGCTGTAAAGTACGGCTCAGCGATTCAGGGAAAACATCTACTTACGATTTGTTTTTACTTC